CAATAAATATTTGGAGAATAACTGAATGAGTGAAATAAGTCTTCTCCATTAGGGTATAACGTATATTCTTGTTTATGAAAACAAAATCAATGGCTTTGCTTGTAACCACTGATTCACACAACAAATGTTAAGTGTTAACGGTACAACAGGGGCTGGAGAACCAAACATGCTAATGATAGAATAAGTTCTCCCTCATGAAATTTATATTAAGGAGGGTCCAACAGAGAAAAGACAGAAAAAATAAACCACTAGACACTGTCCTGAGCGCTTTGAGGGAAACAAGAAAGAGGCTTGCTTTGTTAAGCCTTACAGGGTGGGTGAGCCGAGTTAACGAGTAGGAATGGCCTCCGTGAGGAGGGACAGGTAAGCACAGAACCTAACTTTTCAACAAGCAAGTTCTCTGGAAGAGTAGGAAAACATGTGGATAAAACAAAGCAAAGGCACAGCGAGGATGACAGGGAAAGGGCTTGGTACCCGGGAAAGGAAACAGGCCCCTGTAACAAGCAGCTCGCTGCAAAGGGAGAAAGGGGTAGGGATGAAACATGGAGTTAAGACAGTTAGGCAAGATGACCCCACATAGAGGGCACTGCAGACCCAGGAAAAGCTAATTCATTTGAGGGAATGGGGGAAGAAGGGAATTAAAGTAGAATTTCTTTCAGTAAGTGGATTAGGTGAAGAGCTTCTGCTTAAGCATACCACGGCTGTCTACAGTTTGTGGTCTAGCAGAAAACAGAAAGCCTAAATGGATGCAAACAGCTGGTGAACAGCTTCACTGGAGCCCTGAGCATACCACATCCTTTCAGGTAGTTTTCCAACTCCTCTGGCAACAAGAACGATTTATGCTTCACGTTGAGCTGATTATGGTGAGCCACCTACTGGCCCAGTGACAGTCAAGACTTCTTTCCCGTTATCTACAAATACCCATACCACTTACAACTGGAAAACCTTACCACAAAGGACTCACTGAGCTGGGTGGACTCACTGGTAAATCCTACACATATAAGAGGAAACATAATTAAGCCTGTACAAACTCCTTTAGAAAATACAAAGGGCACATATCCCACGTCACTTAACAGGGACAGTATTACTTGTGATAAAAAACACACAGACATTTCCAGAATAGAAAACTAGGTTATATTTCATAATAATGCAAAATTCATTAAAATAAGTCCAGCAGTTACAGAAAAGAAATTTCATGATCAAGTAGGATTCTAGAATTCAATACTGGTTTAATATTAGAAAATAATGTAATTTATCATTGTTCCCCTCAATAGTTACAGTTAATTGATTAATTAAAAAACTGAACCCCATTCATGATATCAGCAAGAAGGAGCCTGGAAACAAACACCTCACTGGCAATACTAACAACAACAACAACAAAAACCAAAACAAAACTCCATAAGCCTAGATCTAAGTTCCTGAATAACACTTACTAATAAAAGAAACTGAGGCCGCTTAATAAAGTGGCTGAGCAGAGGAAAGGAAAATATAACAGGAGCCACAAATTTTTCAGCTACCAGATGTCAAATGACAGATGCCAACCCAAGTGAGGCCCAATGATGTTAGCAACAACGTAACTATAGTCTCAGACAAAACCCTACTTGCATCTGAGTCCATGCAGAGGAACAGAGTAAAATATAGGAAGAGACAGCTCTCTTCCTTACAGATCTAAAGTCAATGTAAGAAGGACTGACTAAACCAAACCACCACCAGACAGAACACTGCACTAAGGGTAAGATCAGACATGAATACTAACCTTAGTGAGAACATTTTAAGGAGAAACAGTATTTGTGGAATTTCCAAGCTTTTTTTTTTTAAAAATTAGGGGCTGGAGAGATAGCTTATAGGTTAAGATCACTCACTGTCAGCTTTCCCAGAGGTCCTGAGTTCAATCTCCAACAACAACATGGTGGCTCACTGTCATCTATTATGGGATCTGATGCCCTCTTCTGGAGTGCAGGTATACATGCAGATAGAGTACCATACACATAAAACAAATAAATCTTTAAAAATTGTTTAAAAAATAATAAGGGATGGAAAGGACTCAGCAGCTAAGAGCACTTGATGCCCTTACAGAGACTTGAGTTCAGTTCCCAGCACCAACATGGTGGCTTACAACCTTTCACTACAATTTCACAGGTCTAGCACCTTCTTCTGGCCTCTTTGGGTACCAGGCATGCATACATATATGTTGGTAAAATATTCACACACTTAAAATTTACATTTTAATTGCTTCTGTGTGCATATGTACATGCACGTGTCACAAGCATACAAGCAGAGGTCAGATGTCAACTTATATGAGTTGATTCTTTTCCTCCACCATGCAGGTCTTAGAACTGATTTCAGGTCATCAGGCTTGGTGGAAGTACCTTTTCTTGGTGGCCATTTCTCCAGCCCTGTTGCTTTTTGGGGACAAAGTCTCAATATGTTGTTCAGTCTTGCCTCAAATTTATAATTCACACATTTCAACCTCCCATATAGATCTCATTTATATATTACAACAGGAAATATAGTTAGCATGTGTACACACACACACACACACACACACACACACACAGAGTCATAGGGCTAGGGGTGTACTAAATGATAGCATGCTTGCCCAGCATGCAGAAGGACTTCTCTTCTGGAAGAGAAACAACACATAAATCATATCCAGCTGTGAACCCTGCAAGCTACAATATCTGGCCCAGCAAGACATGTCCACTGGTGCAACAGTGTCATGAATGGCATGGGACTAACCAACTTTCTCCCACTCCACCAGATGAAATCCATACCTGACACCATTATGAGGCTAAGTACCTATGGCTAGATAGGTCAGAGGCTATAGGAGAAAATTTACTACTAATATTCTGATAATATAACCAATTCCTAATGGTATCGTTACATCCATAGATTAAGGCACCTCTCAGTCCTCAAAAGAGAAGCTTCTGCTTGCAGTAGGTGATGATTAAAACAGACACAAAACTGGCTAAGATGCAGAGAGTAAGAGATGACAGAATTTTCAGACATATAAAATATTTTGAATCAAAACCACTGCACAGGCTAAGCTGGCCTGGAATTCACGCCATAGATCAGTCTGTCTTTAAGCTAGTGAGCTTCCTGTCAGCCTCCTAAAGGCTGGGGATGCTTAAGCATGTGTAACCATGCCCGGCTGACTGTCCTTTTTGAGGCAATAAATACAGAAACACTAATATAATCTAATTTTTGTTCTGTATTTCTTGAATATAGTACCTTCTGAATTACTTCATACTCTAGGAGTATATTGATATAGTTCTGGATGCAATACAAAATTCTTTCATGGTGATTTTTACCTAACACAGAAACAACTACCAAGGCTATAAGGGTCCTTAACTATATATACTCTAGAAGAGACTGCCCCTGTACCAATCAATAATATGCAACAAATAAAAGAACTAGGGCCCCATAAGATGGCTCAGCATGCTGCCAAAGCTAAGGATTGAGTTTGATCCCTATAGCACACATGGCGGAAGGAAAGAAGAAATTCCTAAAACCTGTTCTCTGACCTTCATGTGCATGCTGGGACACATACGCTGCAAACAAAATAAACTTTAGAAAGTAATTTATAATAAAAGGATCTGGAGAGATGGTACGCTGGTTAAAGTGATTGCCATGCAAACATGACCACCAGAGTTCAGATGACCAGAATCCATGGAAAATGCCAGGTAGGTGCAGTGGACCACCTGGAACTCAAGCTTCCAAATGAAGAGACAAAGGATCCCCAGAGCAAGGTGGCCAGAAAGACTAGTCATACTGGTGAGCTGTGGATTTGAGAGACCCTGCCTTAACGAATAGGGTGGAAGAGTGGGAAAGGATTAGTCTCAGCCTCAGGTCTCTATATTCAAACAAACAAACAAACAAAAGGATCTTAATTGGTCAAGTGGATGGTTCAGAGGTACAACAGCACTTGCCTAGCATGACTTCAATCCTCAATACCACATACAAGACTTGGTATCACTATGTGTGTACATGTACATGCATTTATACATGTGTGCTGAGATACACTCTTACTCTGTTGCCCAGACTGGTCTTGAACTGCTGGGACAAAGCAACCATTCTGACTCACTTTTCTAAGTAGCTGGAATTGCAGACATGTACCACCACACCCTGCTCTCTCTATTTTTTTTTTCTTTTCTATGTGCATGGGTGTTTTGCCTCCATGTGTACCTGGTGCCTATGTAGGCCAGAAGAAGACATTGGATTCCCTGGGACTGGAGTTACAGTTGTGAGCCACCATGTAGATGCTGGGAATTGAGCCCAGGTTCTTTGGAAGAGCAGCCAGTGTTCTTAACTACTGAGCTATTGCTCCAGTCTCTTGTGTCTTGATTTTAACAGTTTGTATTTAAAGTGGTGGCCTTTACAGGGAAATAATTTCAACAGTACCTCAAGCTTATCAGACATAACCAATTAATGACAGTCAGTACCAAATAGCAAACTAATTCCTAACATTGACTATTATGGATATGCAAGGACTGACAAACTGAGCTCAGAGACAACTATTCTGATCCTCAAGTTCTACTACAAAATACAAACAAGAAAAAAATCATGGCGAAAAACAGATGGCACAGGAGTAGTATGTGGGGACTTATTTAAAATGCATGTATATGCCACCCAATCATTTCTGCTGAAATCTTGGGAAGCAAATTTTTTGTTTTGTTTTTTCCATTTGATATTTGGCCTTATTAACCTATAAATCTTCTTCAATAAGTAAGTGGTGAGAGACAATTCAAGCATAAATTATCATTATTATTACGGATCCCATTAATAACTTGCAGTAAGGATAACAGTCACATAGCAGTAGGCAGGCAGAGAGAAGACAGGGAAAGAGTAGAGTAAAATCCTCAAAGGGCATCTTTTAATTATGGCTGATGAGCTGCCATCTATTTCCACTTAACCCACTTGGAGCAGGGATAAATTCTCACCCACAAAGACCTTACTATAATAAAATGTCTTTATAAGCACAGAAAGCAGGTAGTACTCACTTTCGAAGGTGGTCATGTTCTTTCAAAAACAGTTCAGTTCTCCTGTTGTTAACTCCAGACCCACTTTTATATGACCTAGAACAACATCATGAAAAGGTAAGAACATTTAGCACCATCAGGTTAAGGGACTAACTCTAGTAATAGCAGAAGAGACTATAGTTTCCAATAAACAATCAGAATATAATGCATTTCATTTCCCTTGAAAACTACTATCACAGATGTAAAACACAAATGCTCCTCCAGTTTAGATTTAGGGTTTTCTGTTTTTCACCAAACCAATCCAATCTTCTTATGAGGGATCTAATTTTTCTTTTGTGTACTGTCTTCTGCATCATTTTCTTCAACAGAAGCAAAACTTTAGACACACATGGCACACGGGGCAAGAAAGCTACTGAAACCATTTTAACTTTCACAGTAGTGTCAGCCACTGGCCAGCCAAAGCCTGAGGACAGTGAAACCCAACTGTTCAATCTCGGCACACTTTAGGATTCCATGTTCATTGCCAGCACAATAAAGTCAGCAAAAGTGACATTTACTTCTATCAACATCATTTTCCTGCTTTCCATTAGGAATAAGAATCAAGAACACTTTCTTTGTCACTTCCTCCTCCTCCTCCTCTTTCTTTCTTTCTTTTTTTTTTTTTTTTTTTGAGGCAGGGTCTCCCTATAGCCCTGGCTGTCCTGGAATTCACTCTAAAGAACAGGCTGTCTTTGAGCTTACAGAGATGTGCCTATCTTTGCCTCCTGAGTGCTGAGATTAAAAGTTAGGCCACCATGACTGGCCTTAAAGAACATTTTAAAAAATTCCTGAACTGTACCAATGCCTACAAAAAGGATCATGTGAAGGTACAGAAGAAAAGAGCAAATCTTATGGACTAAGATCACTGTAAAATGCTGGAAGTCCTTAGTTTTATATAAGGCTTCGATTTTGTATTAAGCCTGGAAACTCCTGCCCACTTGCAAATGTTTCAGAATTTCAGGAGTGTTGATAGCTATCTGAATATATAAATTCCAGGGCAAGAGAGAAGCAAACGACGGGGAAATAGCATGAGCGGGAAGGGATCATTCAAGCTGGACTTACGATCAAGGTTGGCAAGGGCTCAAGGGAAGACTGGGAGATGGCAAAGCAGATTCAGTCAGTACTGTAACAAGGCACAAAGGGCAAGGGAATGGAAATCAAAAACCCCAAAATCTAAATCCTGGTATTGCTACTCAATTTGCAATTAACCACAGATAGAGCCTAAATCCACACAAACATTCTATAAAGTAACATGAAAGGTAACTTACTCAATATCTTTTCGTACTGATCCCATCAGATTCTCCCTTTCCCGTATTGCCATAAAGTTTGCTTTGGTTTTATGGAATTCATGTGTATAGTCCTGAAATAAATCGACATCCAGTTTCAACACAAACTATTAATGTTCTTTTATTCTTCTAAAGTAGTAGAGTATGGTCATCAGGTTACACATTTCAAAACACTAAGCTAAGCATCCTACCACCTAGTACCGTATCACACAGAATTGTAACAAAATAATTCTAAGACAAAATGACTTCAAATAGCCTAGGGTAAAAGAGGAGAGAGATTTTTCTACTCAGTGGTATACTTAATAAGGTATATGGCTTATTTTTAATCACACCCTTGCCCCCATCCTCAGGATTGGGATCCAGTCCAGGACTTTACAAAAGCAAAACACATGCTCCACCACTGAGCTACACCCTCAGTTCATTTCCAATTAAGTTTATAGTTCCTGTCCATGTTCCTTTTGTTTTTCTTATTTATATTACTTCTGTGTATAGTAAACAAATGAGTCATTTTTCTGACATCAGATCTTCCTTAGCTCTTTACTACTCAGAAATTATAAACTTCATCTAGGCTCTATTCAGGACTTTGATGGTTTTTCTTTCCTCTCCTTTCTTATGCTTTTTCTACATTTAAATCTTTGGTGGTGTGAGTGGGGGGGGGGGGAAGAGAGATATCTACCAGTAAAGTACTATCTGATACCAGTTAGGCTGTAAAAAGCTGGGTGTTGATAGTGTACCCCTGTAATCTCAGCAGTGAGAAGGCAGAGAAGAGAGGAGCCAGTCATCCTAGCTAAATTGACAAGACCCAGGTCCTAGTGAGACCACTCCTCAAAAACCTAAAGAACAACTAACTTAACAGAGGTTGACTCTGGCACACAAGCATATACACGCACAGACACATGCATGCACACAAACATGTGCACACAAAACTATCTTTAAAGAATGTTTACAATTTGTGCTGGAGAGATGGCTCAGAGGTTAAGAGCACTGACTGATCTTCCAGAGGTACTGAGTTCAATTCCCAGAAACCACATGGTGGCTCACAACCATCTACAATAGGATCTGGTGCCCTCTTATGGTGTGCAAGCATACATGCAAGCAGAATACTGTATAAGTGATAAATAAATAAAATCTTAAAAAAAAGATTTTTACAATGTATGTATGCATGTCTGTGCACGTGTGTAGGTATAGGGCAGTTTGCAGGGGTTAGTTCGCTCCAAGGATTGAACTCAGGTTGTCAGGCTTTGTAGCCAGTGCCTTTACCCACGAAGCCACTTGGCTGGCCCCTAGAAACAAACTATCAAGTATCCTAGTTTTTAAATAGGTCTTAACATCTGGTAGAATTAAATACTCATCTTCACTTTCAGAACTGTACTAAGCTTTATTCTTGATTATTCTTATATGACTCTAAATGAACTTTGGTATCATCTTGCCATTCTATAAATAAAGAAAGGCTTGGCTAGTGCGTACCTGTAATCCCAGTACTTGAGAGATGGAACAAAAGGATCACAAACTCAAGGCCAATTTGTGGTAAAGGAAATTCTGTCTCAAAATAAAATTAATTAGAAAGAAAGGAAGGAAGAAAGGAAGGGAGGGAGGGAGGGAAGGAGGGAAGAAAGAAGGGAAGAAAGGAGAGAGGGAAGAGGAGGAAAAGAAAACAAAGAGCTTCGTATGGGCACACACTTGTAAAGTCAGTATTTGGAGGCTGAGAGAGGAGGATGAAATATAAAAAAGGAAAGTTTCAAAAAGATTCCTATTTTTCTTTGTGTGTGTGAACATGTATGTGTGTATGTGTACGCATGTGTGTGTTTCCTAAACACATGTATGCAGAGGCCAGAAATGAGTAGATATCTTCTTCTACTGCGCTCCATCTGCTTTTTGAGACAGGGTCTCTCAATGAATCTAAAGTTTGCTATCTTGGCTAGGATAGCTGACCAGCAAGTTCTTTGAATCATCTGTGTCCATCTCTCATAATGTTGGTGTTACAGGTACATGTGGCCCTGGCTTGTATATGGGTTCTAAGGATGTGAATTCAGACCTCTTGTTTTCATAGCAAGCACTGTGATCAACCAGCCATCTCTCCAGGCTTTTATTACCACTACCTCTGCCACCACCACCTTCAGACATGGTCTTACTCTGAAGTCCTACCTGACCTGGAACTCATTATGTAAACCAGGTTGGCCTTGAATTCACTGAAACTGACCTGCCTCTGACTCCTGAGTGCTTGGACTTAAAGGTGTGTACTAATTTTTAAAGAGTTCCTAAATGGGTTGGAGAGATGGCTCAGCAGCTTAAGAGTCCTGCTCCGGGTGGTGGTGGCGCACGCCTTTAATCACAGCACTTGGGAGGCAGAGGCAGGTGGATCTCTGTGAGTTCGAGGCCAGGCTGGACCAACAGCCTCCGAAACAATACAGAGAAACCCTGTCTCGTAAAAAAAACCAAGAAAAAAAAAAAAAAAGAGTCCTGGCTGCTCTTCCAGAGGACCTGGATTCAATCCCCAGCACCCACAGGGCAGCTCACAATTGTCTGTGACTCCAGTTCCAAAGAATCTGGCACCCCTCACAGACATACATGCAGGTAAAATACAAATGCACATTAAATAAATAAATAAATAAATTTTAAAAGTTCTTAAAATTGTAATAGTGGATTACTTTTCTCAGTAATAAAAATGTTTGCCTCTTCCATGTTACTTCAATAACATATTACACCCAGCATATTACCTGTAGAATGTCTCTATGTCGCTGCAACGTGTGCATCAGTGCTGCATTCAACGAGGGGACCCCTGCACTGTTGGTATATTCTGCCATTTTATCATTTACCCCTGTAAGCTAAGAAGACAAGGAGAAAGTATTTTAAAAAGCACTAAAAACAACTTGTCTGCCTATATGTCCTCTGGGCTGACAACAAACAAGGTAAGACTCAGTCAATCAGCATTTCCCACAAATAACATCTGTTACAATTTGGATGGTGGCCACTAAAATTCAAGCGGTTGAAGGAATACACCTTGAATGAATGGATGTTTTCAGTAAATAATATAATGTAGAACCAGATCTAACAAATAGCAAACTTGTTGTTTACCCAAAAGCACTTACCCTTGCCAAAAGCTGTTCAATTTCAATTGCCATTGTCTCAAACATTCTGTCTTGACTTGATCCATTTAATAGGGGTGTTGTGTCAGAACTAAGGGGAAGTTTAATTTAAAAAAATCCATTACTCAGTGCTTTAAAACAGTCTTAAAATAACAAGGTAATGTTTCTTAAAGTGGTCAAATGAACCTTAAAACATTCCTTCTATTTCTTTAAAGATTATGCTTTTACAGCCAGCAAGATGACTCAGTGAACAAAGGTGCCTGCAACCAAGCCTGATGCCCTGAGTTCAATTCCAGGGTCCACATGGTAGAAGTGACTCCTGCAAGTTGTTCCTCGACAGTGCCTACCATAGCCCCTCTACACAAATAAGTGTAATCTAAAAAATTTAACTATGATTTCATTTTTCTTTTGGAAAAGTCCTGCATGTCCTAAAATACTATAAATGAATAAAGACATTCCGAATGTTGTGTACTAATCTCCAAATGATAGACAATAGTCCAAGCAACTTAAATCCTGAATCTGAAAGAACAAATAATGGAAAAGAAGAAAAAAAACTCCACATAATAATGAAGAAAAAAAATGGATTGTAGATTCCATTATGGAGCCTGTGAGAAATAATCTTTAGCTTTTCACCAAAACTATGCTTTTTTAAAAGATTATTTATTTATCACATATACAGTATTCTGCCTACATGCCAGAAGAGGATGCCAGATTGAATTGCAGATGGTTGTGAGCCACCATGTGGTTGCTAGGAATTGAACTCAGGATCTCTGGAAGAGTAGTCAGTGCTCTTAATCAGCCCCACAACTATGGTTTTTTATGCCTTAAATTCTCGATTCTTATAATGACTCTTACTAAGAAATAAAACTGAGATTTAAATGACTTGATTAGGTAACCAGTTATTAAGGAGTCAGGAGCTAGCATTCAGGTCAACAGAGAATGGCCAGCACACTTTCATACCAGCTTTCCAGATTTCCAGAATTATATGCATTCGCCTCATACTATTTCACAAAAATGTCTTTTTAAAGGTGACTTTGTTTTACAGATGAAAAGATGTTTGACAGAATCAAATTTTAAAACCACATATCCTGAGGGTTTCATCTATCTCTTCTGAAAAACTAGTACCTTTTATGAGTGGCTACCTACAGATGAGTTATTTTTCACACAAATAAAATGGACTACACTCTCCAACCTGAGTGAAGACCTTTCCTTGCCCTTTTATAGCATTTGAATGTTGCAACTCAAAGATTCAATCAGCAATTCAATGTCAAAAAGAACCTCAGCTACCACCACTGTTCCCCTATTTACTTTCACAACAAAACCAATCAGTGAAACAGCTAAAATGTAGCTAATAAGAGTTTTCTTTTTAAAGATTATTTATAGGTATGTTTTTTCCCTGTGTGAGTTTATGTGCATATGTGCATGTAGGAGCCAGAAGAAACCAGAAGAGGGCATCAGATTCCCTGGGCCTGGAGTTACAGGCAGTAGTGAACATGGTCATGTATTTGTTGAGAGTCAAACCTGGGTCCTCTGTAAGAGCAGTGCACCATCTCTCCAACCCCAGATTTTTCCCCCTTATGGACAGAGGTCTGCTTTGTACACATAGGCCAAGCTAGCCTGGAACTTGTGATCTTTCTGTTTCACTTTCTTAAGTGCTAGCATTATAGGCATGTACCATGCCTGGCTTTAATAAGGATTCTTATTTTAGATGTTTAACTAGGTCTTAAGCTTTATTTCTTCTTCAAATATTTCCACTTATATATCTTGCAACATGACATAAAAATATCTAGTTCTTAGCCAGGCATGGTGGCACACACCTTTAATTCCAGCACTTGGGAGGCTGAGACAAGAAAGTAACAAGGTTGAGTCCAGATTGGGCTACACAGTAAAAAACGAGGGTGGTGTTGAGGTTGGGATCAGCTCTTTACTCTGTCACAGCTAAGCCAAGGCTGTTAAGGTGCAACCACAAAAAAGCTGTTTATCACTAATATAAACCCTTCCCTACCAAATACATTTAAAAGAACAGTGGGCCAATAGAAGTCAAGGAAGGAAACTGTCTCTGTCTTTCCTAGTTATAAGCCCAGCACCTGGCAAATGGAGACTATTTACTGTTCTTTAAATATTTGTTGAATGAATGAGTAACAAGACTATCTCTACTATTGGATATTCTATATTCACTATTCTTAGGACAGCATGGAAGTCCAGAGAAACGGTTAACAATTCATTCTCTACAATATTTGGATTCAGTTAAATTTAATTCACTTGATAACGTGTGACGGTCCACAGACCTTCTGACTCTCAACACACAAGAAATACAAAACAAAACAATAAAACACCCCAAGATTCCTAGAAGAAACATTCTAGTGATTGTTGACTTTATTCATGTGACAAGCTTTCAATCTGGACATCAAACAGAAGACAAAGCATGCACAGCCAGTCTTTGTTTTTCCATGCTGGGGATTACAGGCAGGGCCTCACACCCACCAGTCAAGTCCTCTGCCACAGAGCCCAGTCTCAGCCTGTGTCCTCACAACCTTAGGCTCTCTGGCGAAAGCAGAACCAGTTCCAGTTTGTAGCTGAACTCGGAATGTTTTCAAGACATTGTTTCTTTTAAAGGAAATATGAGCAGAGAACACAGAAAAAGCATCCTGCAATAGTATTCCCTGACATACTTAAGTCTTAAAATTGTATACTCATTGGCAAAACCAAATGTGAGCCTTAAATCTGGGAAAAAAGCTTTCTGAAAAGAAAATTTACTCATTGAAAAAAAAATCCTCACCCTCCTTACTTGTGAAAGTGTGCAAAGCAATGCCTTGCTTGCACTGGAGCCCATGAGACATGCTACTAACATTTTTAGGACTCAAAGTCAACACATTAGCCTTGCTAATTCTGCAAGCCATATATATGTCCTTATGAAAAAAGGAACACGTTGGCTGCAATAGTGAAAGGAGCTTTTGCTGGAATGTGTTTAATACAGCAGTTTTTGGAATGAAGGTTCTGGAGAGAGACGGTGTTAAGTTCAAATTCAAGCTCAGCTTTGTTTTTTCATTATTAGCTAACAACAACAACAACAACAACAAATTCATCCTCCACTAATCATTGAAAAAAATACAGAAATAAGAGTTTATTCAAAATCGACAACTCAGGCTGGAGAAGATGGCTCAGAGGTTAAGAGCACTGACTTCCAGGGGCTCTGATTTCCATTCCCAGCAACCACATGGTGGCTCACAACCATCTACAGTTCAATCTGGTGCCCTCTTCTGGCATATAGGCAGAACACTGTATATGTAATAAATAAATAAATCTTAAAAAATAAAAGCAAAGAACTGACAACTCTGTATACATAAGTGTAATCTGGGTGGAAATATTCACAGCAGCATTTATACAAGGCTCTAAGAACAGAACCTGAAATATGGAAATTATTCTGTGTCAGCTACTACAATTATTATTAATTAGCAAAAATTAGAAATGTCCATTAAATAGCTAAATGCTAATACAGTTGTTTAATATATGTAGCAAATGAAGACAGTAGAGTTAAATGCATCCACAATGGAACCTCAAAGATAATGCTAAATAAAAAAAAGAAAACCCAAACTGCAAAACAGCTTTTGTAAAACACTATGAATCGCCTAAGTATACTAAGATATGTAACAAAAATAGTGATATTTATATGTAAATAGAAAAAACAATATGGTATGCTATTAGGGGCTTCACTTGAATTTGCAATGATTATTTCTTAAAAAGAGACACAAGCAAAGAAGGGTTCATTATGTTATTCTTTATATATTTCTAAAAATCTCAAACATTTCCCGATTTTTTTTGAAACAAGTGGATAACTTAAAGTAATCACAAGACTTAAAAATATGAATAAGTTTTTCTTGGGTTGTAATATGCTAGTTCCCACAAATAAATGAATGAATGAATGAATGAATGAATGAATGAATGAATAAATAAAACATTAAACTACCTTCCATGATTAACTGTGAGAGTCCTGCATTAGATTCATTCTAAAAGAATAAACACTAGGAAAACAGTTTGTATGCCTTGCATTTAGGTAGCTCCTCAGTTCCATTCAGAAATTAGAAAACAAAAATCAGCCTGTGATGGCAAATGCCTTTAATGCACTGGAGAGGCACAGGCAGGCAGATCTGTGAGGTTTACAGAAAGAGTTACAGGACAGTCAGAGCTACACAGTGAAACCCTGTCTTGAAAAACAAAACCCAAAACGAAAACAAAACTCATTGTGGGCAGATCAGACATTTCTGTGGCCTAAGACTGACACTTCTTTGGATTTGCCGTGGAGCCCAGAATGAGTTTGCAATCATGTGTCTCCTGTCTCAGCCTCCAAGTGCTGGGATAGCAGGTTTACAGACCTGGTATCAAAAACATTATTGATATAAACTCATTATTAAACTCTAGAAGTTTCTTCCTGAGCAATCACAATCTTTGTTCAAAGATCTCAAAGTCTCAAGAATTAGAAAAAATTTCAGTAAGACAGCCCCCACATAAGACAATGACAAAGATATTAAAACATTAACAATTCACCAGTATACTAAGTCATGAGTTCTATAATATCTCAGTTTACTTTTAAAAACATCGTATAGTTTAAGGTATAAGAGAAGCTGGTAGTACCTATACCTATCGCGTCCTCCATCTCTGGCGCTGCTGTGACTGTAACTTGTACACAGTTTACTGAAGGAAACTAGTTTCAGGTCAAGTTCATTTTCCAGCTGTCGAGCTTGTTTCCTGAGATCTTTAAGGAAATTACAAAGACAAGTCATTTTCCACCAAGAGACATTAAAATCACAAGACTATTTTTGAAGAAAGCCTACTATCATATACTGATCTCTGACCTAGTTGCCCAGAAACCAAAGATTTACTCAAGAAAGTAAATTAAACTGTGGGAAGCAGCAATGGGAGATATACAACCTGTCATTTTTCTTTCAAAGACAGCTTGACAACCAACCTAACATTCTTGAGATTACTTTTACAGCAATAACCCAAAGTTGTAACTTGAAGGAAAACGAGAGAATAGAAATGTTTTTTATAAATATAAAGACATGAAAATGGTTTATGACCACATCAATTTACCAGCTAACTTTACAAGAGGTTCACATTCTTTTGAAAGAAATTTTTTTTCATGTTTCAAAGCTTTGTTAGGATTTTGGGATTCTTTTCATACATGTACAATACCTTAGCAATTAAATACAAAGAAAAGGCCAATCAACAAAAATTAAAAATGTTTTTTTCAAAAACACTGGGAGGGGAACAGAGGTTAAAAACTAACAATGCACCATGAACAGGCAAAACACAAATATAACAGGTTTTCTAAAGCACATGTTTTGCCAGGCAGTGGTGGCTCACACCTTTAATCCTAGCACTCAGGAAGCAGAGGCAGGTGGATCTCTGTGAGTTTGAGGCCAGCATGGTCTACAGAGCAAGTGCCAGAACAGACAGAGGAACCCTGTCTCAAAAACAGAAAAAGGCATATGTTTTAAAAGTAGAAGCAAACAGATAAACAGGTGTAACAGTTTGGCTTCTAAAGGACTGAATGAAAGAAGCCACACCTGGAAACTCTCTCTCTCTCTCTCTGTCTCTGTCTCTCTCTCTCTCTCTCTCTCTCTCTCTCTCTCTCTGTATATATATATATATATATATATATATATATATATGGATGGATTCTTATTCGTGGTGGAGTTCAAATGAAAGGACTAAAATCCAGGAAGGAATGATGTAAGAATGTGGAGTATATTAACACAGAGACCAACTCCCACTTGGAATGTCAGCTCAGCCACCAACAGTCTTTGAGATTTACTGATGATTCAGTTCATTTAAAAGCTTCAGTCTTCAATTTTTATATTTTGGTTGTGAGCCTCGCCGTTAACGGCTGAGCCATCCCTCCAGCCCCTTCAATTTTTAGAGCTCCACTGTCAGTGTTTTCTATACATGCTTAAAGCATCCGGCACAAGGTACATTGCCAATAATGGCTTGCTATAATTATTACATCATAGCGTTTCATAGCCTAATGACTATCAAAGACACCAGTAGCCACATTTGCATAATTTAAAAATAAATTTTAGCTACTACAAATATTTCCAATGGGCATTTTAAATACATGTTTTAAGTTCTAGGCAGGTTACCCTGTAAGTCTAGTTTTTTTGTTGTTGTTGTTGTTTAATGGGAAACATCAAGTAGAATGCATTTTGAAAATATGACAGACTGGAACTTAAAATTCAGACTTTTATGTCAAGTGATTGATGACAACAATACCATACTGTGACAATATATTATTTATGACTTATTAAAGTCACTGGAGATCAAAATAGCAAAGCAGCCAAGCTAGTAGATCTTACCTTTACTCAGCTGAAAAGGTAATCCTGTCACCACAAATCTTCAGAGGCAAAAGACTCTTAATTACCATCTCGTCCTCCTTATAATCTTTTTTCTGCCCAGCCATATCTTCCTGTCTACACCTCTCTAGTGCTGAGATTAAAGGCGTGTGACCCCAGATGCTAAGATCACCTTTGTGTGAGCTGTTTCTTTCAGGACGGATCAATTTTCTGTGCTGAGTGTGGCCTTGAACTAACAGAGATCAGCCTACCTCTACCTCTCAAGTGGTGGGATTAAACATGTGTAGCACCACCGTCTGGCTTCTATAGCTAACTAGTATAGCTGCTTTGCTATTTTGATCTCCAGTGGTTTTAATAATCATAAACAATATATCATCACACCATACTTTCCAGGGGCTTCATGGGTCAGAAAGAGGAAATAGGTTTAAAAAAAAAAGCAAAGAAGCAAATAGTTCAATGAAAATGTGAGCCATTTCTGATCTTTGTGGCTCACTGTGGTCTAGGGATGTTTTACAAGACCCTCACTTGATTGGACCAGATTTTCAGGAATTAAACACACTTGAATGTTCTATTGGCGGGAGAAGGATAACAAATGTATCAATTAGAACTCTTTATCATTTTAACAAAATGATCTTGGACTCCGGGACAGAAGTTAAAGTTATTTTCAGTATTCTGTCACCCAATCCTCGATGAAGTCTCAATCTTAAATTGCCAATAGGAGTCCAGGAGGAGACAGTCCACAGCCCATGCATGTCTGGGAGTCCCCCAAGGCCGGGACTGACAAGTTCCTCTCACTCTTGGTTTTCCGACAGTGACCGTAACTCTGACTACTGTCTTCCGGGCTCTGGGTTTCTGGCTCGACACACGTCTCCTCCCGAGAGTTCGTCCCCAAAGCCCCATCCTCAGTCTCACCACCCCTCAGATAGGTCCACCTGGAGCCTCAGGCTCCTCTTCTCTCCGTCCCCGCTCCCTCCACTCCACCCAGCCCCTTCCCAGATCCGGTTCACTCCGCCCCAGCCTCTTCCTCAAGTTCCCAGGCCCGGGGGCGCCTCTCGGACAACCTCATCGCGCAGTGTGGCCGTTCCTGAGGTCTGTCTCTTCCCTCTGCTGCCTTCCTCAAGACCCAGCCTCACTCAGTGCCCCCTGCACTTGGCAGAACCCTCCCGGAGGCCTCGCCCTCACCTTCCCAGTAATTGCTGGTTCCCGCCGCCATCTTTGTTGCCCAACGTCAGTCGGGACAGGAGAGTCGAGGCGTTGCGGGCCAGAGAGTCACCTCCCCGCCTTCTTCCACCCAGCGCGCCAGGGCTGACGGGATACGCGAGTCTCCGTAGATACCTCCACCTGGTGGACATATCGTTATTTTACAGCTTTAAGTGGCGCGTTTGGAAACTTCGGTTTAGCTTGCGACGCTGCCTGAATCTCTCTGTCCTGGGTGTTCATACCATCTTTCTGCGCCCTCGATCTTCGATTCGTTCATCCTTTCAGCCGGTGACTGAGAGGAGAGGAGAGACACTCGCGGTTTCCCTCGTGTCACTCAAATAGATGTTTTGGGACTGGGGGCGGGTGTATAGTGGGTGAGGTGCCTGACTAAATGTGAGGCTCTGGATTCGATCTTCAGCATTCCATAAACAGAACATGGTGACATAGGCCTTCAATTCTAATACTCAGAAGGTGGGGCTAGGAGGATTAGAAATTTAAGATCACCCTCGGCTACGTTGGGAGTTGAAAGCTAGGGATAAACGAAACCCCGTCTCAAGAAGAAAAAGAAGAAATGTATCTTCACTAAGCATTTTCCTTTCTCAGAGCTAGAGGCGGCTCATATTTCCTCATCCTCCCTCCACTCTCCCGCATGTGAGGCTTTCTTCCTTATGTCTACAGCAGAGCCTCCGCCCTCTGTCCTTTCTAGTCATTTGGGGTGTGTTACCTGCTTCCCTCCCTTCCCTAATATGCGGACAACCTGAAGCTCACCGATTTGGTTTAGATCGGCTAGCCTGCAAGCCCCAGTTTTGCTCCCCAGTGTTGGGATTACAGACATATGCAGCCATGCCTGGCTTTTCATGTTTGTGCTAGGGATCTGAACTCACATCCTCATGCTTGCTTGTGTGACAAGCGCTTTACTGGTTGAGTATAATATGCACCAAATTAATAGATTGTTATGTGTGGTTTAAGTTCATTGAGAAGTGGGCTGTGAACAGAGGGTTACCACCCCTGCCCTCACAGCCACACACTTCATACCCAAGCATGTCTCTCTAAGTGTCTCACAAGATCCCCTGTCTGAGGATGGGCTGGCAGGCTGGCCCCTTGAGAAAGGAAAAGTAGAACAGCAAAATGGCCCAAAGAGTAAAAATATCATGTCCATGAAAACAGAGGAGAGTGAAGCCTTTGAGTCTAAACACTGTTCCCTTTATCACAGCTGGAAGACAATCAGTCCAGTCACCTGGTCAGCATAAAGATGCCTGTGGTGGGGAAGGCTCATTGGCAGTCCCTGAACGCTTTTGTGGATCAGAGGCTCCAACCGACCGTTCTTGTTCCCAGGCTTCCTCAGTTGCTTTCTGTCTGATGTCATGCCTACTACCTCCTTCCTGCTGGCTGCTTCACTCCTTTACTTCTGCTTGCTGCACATCTAAGAAGCACATTCACTTGAAAATAGCACAACTATTGCAGATCCTTCTTCATACAGACCACTGAGCCCTCTGCCAGGTCCCCACGTACTCGTTTTTTAAAACTCTATTTCCCGTTGTTCTGGTTGGAGAATATCCACTACTCTGTCTTCAAGTCAATTGACAAACAAACGGGCCTTCTGCTCCCTCCATTTTCCTGCTGAACCCATCTGGTGAGTTGATCTCGGTTACGGAGCTTTTCAGATCTGAAAGCTTGCACTCACTTCCTCATGTTTCCTTTGTGAAAGCTGTTTCCTGCAGAGACTCTTTTTAAAATCATGTGTTGCAAGTTTGTTTATAGATGGGTGAGGCTGACACACACCCTTAATCCCAGTACTTGGGAGGCAAAGCAAGTGGATCTCTGTGCGTTTGAGGATGGACTGATTTACATCGTGAGTTCCAGGACAACCAGGGCTGCGTAGAGAGAGTCTATCTCAAAGAACAAAACAAACAAAATAAAAAAGAGTTTGTTTATAAGTGCTCACCAGATTATTTTTATCACCGGTGCTTTTAAATCCTTGTCAGATAATCCTGACATCTAGATTTGGAGTCCGTTGGTTGTGCTTTTTCATTAACTGAAATTTCCTGGGGTCTTGCCATATGAGTGATATATGTCTATCTATGTTTGTGTCTTTGAGTATTTTAGGGTGGGGGAAGATGGATCCGTTGGTAAAGCAAACATAAATGCCAGGAAAGTGTGGCTATAATCCCAGCAATAGGGAGGCAGAGACAGGAGATCCCTGAAGCAAGCTGGCTAGCTAGACTAGCCAATCACTGAGCTTTGTTCAAGTGAGTGAACCTGGAGAGCGGTGAGGACGACACTTGACAGGACCCTCTAGGGTACACATGCACACACATGTGTATGTATACCTATATAATGCAAACATGCATATATACATGCACAGATACCACACAAACATAGGCATGCAATAAAGAAGAATGAATCAAAATCCATGGTATTTTTTTGGTGAGTTAGAGTATCGGCTTTTACAGACTGGGCCAACATCTTAAGTCTCCTATGTACTGCTATTAGTGGAAACGCTTAACTGCAGATTTCTTGTGGTGCTCCTGAAGGGAGCCCCCAGTAGATAGATTTTCTTAACTTCTCAGAAATGTGCCATGACTTAACAATAGAGTGCCTTCTTGGAAGAAACAACAGGGCATTGACACGGATCTCCTACAGTCTGTCTGTATCGAAAGGCAGGGTTTAAAAAAAACAATTTTACACATAGAAACCAGATTGTAAGGACACCATGTATGACAAGAAAGCAATGCTCAGGTTAACCTAATTCATCAAGTAGAAGACATGGAAGCCTTTAACCCTCTCCCTCATGCTTCAGGGTGAGCATATAAGCAGGCTTTCAGTAGAGAGGTTCACAGGACCCAGTCATCTGAAAACACTTCATTAACCTGAGAATAAGAAGCAAAGAGCTAATTCCCCACCAGTACCTCCTTTATCAGACCCTCCTCCCCACTTACATACAACACATGCACTTATACTTCTCTAATGTGGAAACACCTGCACTAAATATGTGTAGCATCATTATAGTGTTTAACACAGAACCAGTTATTCTAAGGGTGTGCAAGAGGGTTAGAAAAATATCTCTCATCAAAGCTCCTGGCACTAGACCATGCAAAACTCAGAATGTTTGTTCTAGAGAGCTCTTGACCTGTTTCTTTGGATATACCAAAGTCCACCACCAGGCAGCTCGGCAGCATGGAGGTGCACCAGCCCCGACAGGAACTTTGTTGTCGGTACACTTACACCTCTGGGTCAAGGAGAGGAGACACTGTTTGTGCCATTTAGGACCCAGGGAAGGCCTTGCCCGGCTTGGAGGACCTGAGAGATGAACACTGGGTCAGGGGAATGAATGGGAAATGTCTTAGGATTTCTATTGCTATGAAGAGACAACCATGGCCATGGCAACTCTTATAAGACATTTAATTGGGTGGCTTACAGTTCAGAGGTTTAGTCTATATCATCATGGAGGGACATAGTTGCATACCGGCAGATATAGTGCTGGAGAAGAAGCTGAGAGTTCTACATCTTGACCTTTAAGCAACAGGAAGTGAACTCTGTCACTGGGTGTAGCTTGAGCATAGGAGACCTCAAAGCCTACCTCCACTGTGACACACTTTCTCCAACAAGACCATACCTACTCCACAAAGTCACACCTCCTAATAGTGCCACTCCCTTTGGAGGCCATTTTCTTTCAAACCACCACAGGAAGTGATGTGTAAAGGTGGGGAGCTGGATTCTCCAGGCAGTAGTTGAGGATGAAAGGCTAGACCACATGACAAACAAGGTTAATAATGGGGAAAATCCATTGGCAAGAGTCCAAAGGAAAAGAGGGCTCTGACCTGAGAACCTATTTCTCCTGCCATGGCTATTTTCTTTATCTGTTGTGTAGGTAAGGTATAGGAGTCAAAGACTTTACACTAACTATATAATGGAAGCCTTGTCACACAAGGCAATCAGCAAAGACTCTGCTCCCTGACTGATGATGGCATCTTCTAATGCCTGGATCAGCAGGTCTTCAATACTGTAATCCACAAAGGAGTCCCGGAAACTGGCACTGATGCTAGGTGGTCCTATGAAGCTGTCACTGGGATTGTTGGGGTCTCACCAGGGCACTGAGGTCCATGTTGCACAAACGTACATAGGTAGTGTGAGCGCTATGGGATACTCTGCAGTGTTCTATGAGTCCTTCCTGATCAAAGTTTTCAGGATCATAGGACATGATATGATAATGATAGCAAGGTACAATAGTCTGGGGCATTCCTTGACTTGGCAGAAGAGTTACATCCCTAGTGGTAGCTTTTGTACCTCACATGGTATAATTTTGGTTTTGGAACAGACAGCCATGTGGCTTCAGATCTCAACAGACTCACCCTTCCAGGGGAGTCGAGAGGGGATGGGATAGGGGGACAGGGAAGGAGGGGAGGGAGAAGGAACTGGGATTGACATGTAAAACAAGCTTGTTTCTAATTTAAATGAGGATTATAAAACATTAAGAGAAAACAGATCTCAGTGTATTTTTCCCTGTAATGCTGGGCATTGCACCTAGGGCTTCCACACCTAGGCTCTGCCACTGAGCTGTAGCCCCAGCTCTCCTGTGTGTGTAGGCCCGAGGTTGAAGTCAGTATTTTCTTCAATTGCTGTCTGCTTTACTTTTGGAGGCAGGATCCCTCACTGAACTGATTTGCCTAGACTGGCTGGCCGCAAGCCCAAGTGATCTTCTTGTCTCTGCCTCCCAGCATTGGGGAGTGTATGCAGCCTCAGCCAGCATTTTTATGTGGGTGCTGGTGATTCAAACCGAGGTCCTCATGCTTATACTTTACTGAGTGAGGCATCACCACCTCCCCTTCCCTCACAAGCCCCTTTTAACTTTTAATTTTGAGACACGAATCTCACTAAATTGCCTGGTCTGGCCTTGAACTTATTCAGTATGCTACAAAGCTTGAACTCTTAGTCCTCCTGAGTAGCTGGGGCTATAGGCCTGTAGTCTTGCTGGTCTGTAGGAATTCTCAGAGTACCTGTGGAAGATACCTCTGCTCTTTGTTTACTGCTTGGTCCACAGCTTGGATATCCACCCTGCTCACACCCCACAACACTTAGGTTTCTCTGGCTTCAGACATTCAGGTAACCAGAGTAGCCCTTTCTCC